GGGGGGGGGGGAACTGGGGCAATAGGTGGATGTTGTAGGTAGAGCTTAAGCTTCGCCATCTGTGGCAGAAGCAGCGGAGATTATAAAAATGTTTTTTTCCCGATGGAATCTCCTGTATACCTAAAGCTTTTGCTTCCGACCCAGTTAGCTTGTAAGAGAGGATTGGAACCGGATTCAGTCCTTTTAGATAACAATCTGCTGAGCATTCCCAAGGCTTCAGGATGCAATATCTCTGCTGGTCCGAGTAAGGCGCACGCGTAGATGTTGGTTTATTTCTTCATGTTCAGTACCCCAAGCCATGACCGGTGGAGACGCGGCCATGCCCTTTACCAATAGCGCGGCCGGACCCATGGCCATCGTGCTTATTGCGGGGGTTAGTACCGCCGTCGCTCGTGCAATTGACTACATCATTGTAAATCACACACAGAGGGCCGACGGATGTCCGGGACACAGGACTGGTCCGGGACACAGGACTGGTCCGGGACACAGGACTGGGATATTGCTTGACTCCATGACTACTCCGTCTTCTGCAGGATATTTTAACTCAGTCGTTCAACATGTATGGAAGCATCGAACTAAGAATGGTGGTCCCGAACTCATCGGTGCCTCCAATCATGGGAAAGGGAGGATCCAAGATAATGTCCATTCGTGAAGGGACTGGCGCTAAAGTCCAAAGTAAGTATTGATGTGTGGAGGTCATGGATGTGTGGAGGTCATGGATGTGGGGAGGTCATGGATGTGGGGAGGGAGGTGCACACACGTGTTTGTATTTATAGTATCGGGTCGTGACAATTCTGGAATCCGTCAAGACTTTGAGAGGATTGTTTTGGTGAGTGGTCAGACGGAGCAAGTGCGCAATGCTACGAAGATTGTGACATCATTGATCCAAGCCGATCCGATGTTAAAAGAGTATATGATTTTCTCATTGTCCGTAGACACGGAAAAGTTGTCGGACTACTTGGCCGGTACAGGTGGGAGTGGTCGTGGCACCGCGGCGATGCCACCTGTTCCGCCACCAGATTATCATCACTCGATGCCATATCATTCCCAACATCACAGTTCGGTCGCGGAATTGACATTACAGGACCTACAACCCGTCGACGAAAAGGATGTGAATACTTGGATTAAAGCCGACCTGATCAAACCTCAAGTTATGCAACTTGAAACTTCTGTTCTCATCCAAATCCCAGACGAACAAGTTGGAAGCTTAATGGGACGCAGCGGACAAGTACTCACTGAAATCCGAAGCAGTAGTGGCGCACGTATTACAATAAGTCAACGAGGAGAATTAGTACCCGGCACTCGTGATAGACTTGTAACCATCAAGGGCAACATGGCCGCCATTCACACTGCCCACGCCCTAATTGTTCAGCGTCTGGCCGAAACCCAAGACGAAGAACGACAGTAAACCCCCCC